CAGCGTGATGTTGACAACTACAGTAGACTCTCGTAAAAAGCAACTCTCACAAAACGCAATTGTTCAGGAAAAGCAACCGATTTTGTGCGACTTCAAGACGTGCAAATTTTCGGAATTTAACTCAAACAATCTACTAAGAAATGCTAAATAAACGAGGTTTTTTGAAACATCCCAGAAAATTCGTCTTTTCAGAAATTGCAACTTCCTCGTATACATTCTAATTGCTTTTTCCTACTACTAGAGTCTACTGTAATACATTTGGTAACGTATAAACCAGCGATATTTGAAGAAATTCTATGAAGAAGCACCCGAAACAATATCCAGACCGGAGAAAACACAAAACGATGAACATGTTCGGCGTTTGGCACGACTCGAATGGGAATTACATCAGCGCAAAGAATTGGCCACCATGTGCAAAACACTGCAGACGGCTAAGGAAAGTGTTGCCCGTGAAATTGAATCCAAAACAAATCGGCTACAATCACTTATGCCGTGCTTGGATCAACTGCTCAAATCGACACGACCATTGCAAGATGCACTCGAAATTAATGTCGAAAAAGATTGGGCCGTTCAGCATACGGCTCGGTTGTTGCCGCGTCCATTGTACGTGGCCTATGTTAATTTGAGTGCCTACGCCGAGATCAGCAAGAAACTCATCGATACGCGCATCATTGGTGATGAAGATGAGGCAAAGGAACTGGAAAATACTGATAAAGTCCACAACGAAGATAAAAAGACCGGCGATGAATCGGACGACGCTGGCGACGATGACGATGATCAAGAAAATGTAAGGAATTTTTTTTTATGATTTTGATTCTTTTCGGGCAGATGATACTACTAAATGTCATTTGATCCAAGTGTTGAGATGAAATTAATTCATTTTTCGTCTTTTTTAAAAATAGGATAGACAACGCTCTTCAAAGAAACACCACCATCGACGTCAATTGAGCACCGTGACAACAGAGCAAGTCAATGTGTACAAGCCACATCCTTTATCGATCACGTTCAAAGTAAGTTGTGATTAGTAAAGATACTTTTGAATATATGAAACGTTGATTTAGATCCCTCTTGATTATCGCTTATGCGTCCATGTGAAAAAGAGAAAATTTTTCATCACATTTTTGAACACATTTCATTTGCAGTTGCCGGTCGTTGCTCCAAATGGACCATCCTTATCAATTACATTGTATTACCTTACGGCGTTGCGCTTTGTCACGGTACAAACGAAATTGGTTGATTTTGAAACAGAAGGAATTGCTGCCAGGTAATACTAAAATGATTTTAAATTCGATCTCCAATTGAAATAAACAAAAATAAATAACCATGTGATAATGTACTTCAGAGATGTATTGGATCCAACGAAAATCCTCAACTGTTTAGTGGCAAATGAAAACGATGAAAATGAAGTGCTTCATCCAAAAACTAAATACACAGTATGTAGCCCAAGTTAAATGCTTGTTTCGATGATTCTAGATCTTATTCATTAGTTTAATATCATCAAAAAAAAAACAACATTTGAAAAAATTCAATTTCTCCGAAATTTTCAGTTGCATCACTTTTCCTTGGATCCGGCTGCGTTTTTCATGAAATTAGGTGAACATCAACTTGGTAAACCGTTCACTTGGGCGCAAAATATGTGTGGTTTGAATTTCATAATCAGTTCAAAGGCAGTGTCCAGCTTGTCGAACAATGAGCTCACACAAGAGACTGTGCCGGTGATTGTTGACAAAATGCATGTCCGTTTGAAGGCACGATATCAACTATATCGACAAGTGTTGCAATTGGAGCAGCAATTCTATGGAAATGGGTCGAAAAGTGCCGGTTCCAGTTCACCATCTTGCATTTTAGCACAATGGTCACCCATCACATTCATCGAATACTCCGAACGTGCGCTGGCCACAAGCCGTTTTATCGACGAGAATTTGGTTACCACAAATCATTTATTGTATCATGCCGTTTTGATACGCAGTTCTGCCAAAATGGAATGTTTTGTCAGTGTTTCGCCAAATTTCCCCATTGAATGTCCCATCTGGGCCATTACACTAAATCTGAATGGATCTCGATTACATCCATCGAACAGCAATGACATTAAGGTCGGTACAAGCCATGATCAATTTTTCCCTTTCTTCTTTATTGATTTTTTAAATGTGATTTGCTTTTGACTTCACAGGAGATGGAATATTGGATCAATTCCATTGAATCGTTCAAGAAGAATGTGTCAAATGTGTTGATATTGCAATTGAAACGGGCCATGTCATCGTTAGACATTTTTCTTGAGACGGAATCAATACGATTGTCATCGACAGCGAATGAGATCAAAGCTGAGAAAACATTCTTGAAAGTATTCCGCGGTCGCACACGCTCTCGTCCATACAAATTCATCCAGAACGGTGGTTCAGTCATCTATACTCAAATCTAAAATGAATGAAAGACAAATAACATCCTTTTTTTCTCAACGATTGATGCATCTATCGCTCTTCATTATATATCGAAGGCATTATTTTATTGAAAAATTCGAGAAAACAAATAAAACATACAAAAATGAATTGCATTTTTATTTTGTTAGTTTTTGTTTAAAAAAAAAACTAGTTTTAATCTAATCTAAACGGATGACGATAATCGTTTGAACAGAGAAACAAAAAAAAATCTGGTTTTGTAAAAGCGAAAGGTCAGTGTTGTCGCATATGTGAGTTGGTGTTGTCATATGTCATAAAACTCGTGACAGTGCAGTTCACCGAAACACAAAGCCAATGTGTATGTGTGTATCTCGTACCCTAAGTAAAGTCAACACGCATATTTGCTGTTCGAAATTCCGCGGACTGCAGCAGTACACACGGGTGCATCGTATTTATTTATCGTGATTTTTGTTGTTGTTGTTCGTATGCATTTACTACCGAAATCTTTAATTCCATAGCGTGTACATTCGAAGCAATTTTCAGGTGAGATTTTTAGCAAGTATTGTCGAAAATAGACGTCGTTGTGTATTGGTTTGCTTGCAATCCGAGATCGTCTCACAGTAAACATCGACCAATGACGTAGATTGTTTTTTTTTTTTTCTCTTTTTTTGCTCTTGTCGACGTTTGTTTTTGTTTTGTAAAACGAAAAAAAACTAAACGAAGAATTCAGCTTGAGATGTTTAATGAGAGATACCGAAAAAAAAGGTTGATATTGGTCTTGCAATGCACGAATATTGTTTCTTTCACATTCAGTAAATTTGGAATGCTCAAATTTAGAATTCGTTGACGGATTGAACCGTGCATTGACTAATGTCATGCATTGCGACGGCGTCTCATATTCATTCCATAGACATTTAACCGTCCACTGAACGAACACTGATTTTGTTTCATTAATTATGAAAACCAGCATTAGTTTGATTGCATAAACTGTAAAATATTTAAAAAAAAATGTATTAAGATTTCATTCGGAATTCGCCGATGCCCGAATATATCATTTGATTTTCAAAATCAAACACACAGAATAGCAGTCAAGTGTGTGGTGTGAACGCACCATTATTTCAAATTTGGTTCAGTGACATTCGTTAAAATATCACGACTTATTTTCACTAGCAATGTCTATGATGCTTTTACAGATGTCGTCAAATGAACGTCATTTTTATGTTGTATTTACAACGCACCAACGCCAACAAATTTGTGCGAATATTATTTTGGAATTTTTCCGCCTTCTTTCAGAAATGAGTGATAAAAGTGAGAGTACAAGTAACAACTCATCAAGTGGGTTTAAAAGCAACAAAAGAGTTTCTGGTGCGAGTGATTCGGGATGCCAAATACCTAGAAAAAAAACGGCGAAATCACCGACACTCGCAAGACAACACATATTCGAGAAAATCTACGATGAATTGAAAATTCGTTACTGTTCATTTTATTCAAAACGACCGGCAAGTGAAGATATCCAAAAAGTGATTAATAATTTGAATGATGCGATCAAAAGATTCACGTCAGTGAGGTATTTTATTGTGTGAAAACTCAAAAAGCCCGATCTAATCCTCTTCCTCTTTTATTAGTGGAACGATAGCGACTAAGCTGGCACAGGCCAAAGTATATTTTAAAAATGCAAAATCACCACAGAAAGGACCGTCATCACTAGACCAAACACCAAATGAGGTTAATTATGCAGAATGTTCGCTCGATGAATTACTCAAGCATTTCCATACATCTGTCATTGCCTTAATATCTCGTTTCGAGTTTTGTTCAAGGTGAGTAGATTGTAAAATAAATAATTGAACGATGTTTTCAATTCGTTCCTTGTTCTGCAGAGAACCTACCCAGAAATCTTTGATACCAAAATTGGAAGATTTGAAAGGAAGATGCGAAAATTACATAGAGAGCATCAATATATTGAAGTAAGTGAATATTTGTGTTGCTTAATCGTGATTAATCTATGCTCAATGAAGCAGCAGACTTGTCGGCACCGTGAAATGCTAAATCCACGAGTGTGCCGACCAGTCCGCTGTTTCATTGAGTGATATATGAGTGTGGTGCTATGGCGTTTTTGATTTCAGGGAGGATGTGTCACGTTTTGATAAAACTGGTGCTGGAACTTCCGGCGAAAGTGAAAGGCAACGAACTGTTTCGGAATCTCAGAATCAACATCGTGATGATGACGAGCAATTGGAAAACGCTAGTGCTACGAATCCAAGCCCGAAGAAGGATTCAAATCGGGTTGCCGACATGAAATGCTCGAATGTCGGATCGATGCATGGTCAAGTGGTAGTTGTTATATTTTGAAATCAATTCTACACATACAAAAACAAAGAGAATTTTGAATGAAAGTGACAAATTCGTTACAGCAACCTCAGGAAGAGAATCTACAGTAACAGTCCGACCAAGACAAACCCTGCTCCAGTGATCCACTTAGTTTGCAGCCCGATAATCAAATATCTGACCAACAAAATTCCGGAAGTAATTTGCCAACAACGAGTCCATCCAGCGTATTTGGTGAGTGCTTTTGGCGGTATGTTTAGTTCTGGAATTGACATTAAATTTGGCGATTTTTCTTGTCTAATTTGTTGTAGCATCATCCGGAGCGACTCTTCCTAATCAGCAAGCATTAGTAGGTCAATCCATGCATCAATGTCAAAAACCACCTCAAGTGCAAATCCAACAGCACATGAATGTGATGTCCCAAAAACCAACGCAAACACATAAAAAAACTGCATATTTGGCACCTCAACCTCAATTCGTGTCGAATGTATCAGCCCACCCCACACATTCCCATTCGGACTATCTCCCGAACGCACATTCAGGTGAGAATAAGAAGCGGTCAGCTTCACAAGAGACTCACCAGCTTGTCAGCTGTTTTTTCATTCATTCATTCATCAAAACTTCTTTCCTATCTTCATTTCAGCAGCTGATCAATCAAACATGTCCTATTACAGGTATTGAAATAAAACCATTTTATTTGCCACAATTGTCGACAGTCGCTTGTTCTGTTTTTTTAAATATCATCATTCGTTTATTGTTCAAATCGACTAAATGTTTGCTTGGTATTTTTGATACAGTCACCAACAAGGCGCACGACAACCAACGGTTAACACATCGGTCGGTATACATCAAATGATGAATAATGCACCGACTCATCCGTCTGGGCAGCCAGCGTCCGTCGTTTCTAATCCTCAATTATATCAGTCATTAGAAATTCTTGGTCAGGAGTTGCTTGATGATTATTTGAAATAAGCCATGACCGATTATATTCGAATAACATTTTTTTATTTTTTTTTCTCTCTAATTTTTATCACATCGCACAGAATAACTGCGCATTTCTACTACTTAATAGCATTTTGAAACGGGTGCCGTAATGTGCATGCTCCATTTTATGGACAACAAACATGGAAAACTTAATGAATTTACGCAATAAAAGAAAAGTGGTTTGAGAGTAGCGGAAATTTTTGTGTTTTATTCTTCTTTTTGAACAAATTCAATGCATATGAGCTAATGAGCCCAGCGTGATGTTGACAACTACAGTAGACTCTCGTAAAAAGCAACTCT